TCCTATTGACATTGCCTGTAATTAACAAATATACTAAATAGAAAGATGTATTATACCACTCTAAAGGCTAGTTGCCTCCCCAAGCGGACCCCCCGAGTCATATCTCTTATGTTAATTAACTTTCAGAATTCTCTAATTGAAGTTCATTTGATGATTATTTAGTCTTATTTAAAAAATAACTGAAATCTCTAATCTACCTACACAATCATAACTCATGCTTTTAAACTAAAATTTAACGTGTTTCAAGTACTTCTGGCTTTAACATATATTAATTATATCTTTGTTCGTCCCAGGTGACACCTTAAAGTGACTAAAATGCTTCATTTTGAAGTTAGTTTCCAAGCTAATTTTAAATTGTATATTGTATAGGGTAAATGTTCCAACTACGCTCTCACGTTTCCACTATGTCGCACCACAAAAATACATATGAGTATGTCACAATAGAAGCACACCACAGTGGGAATCCCGAATCATAGTTCAAACATTTATCCCAAATCAAAATGAAGCACACCTAAGATGAGTTACAATACCACGTACAAAAATGATGTTTAACATTGTTTCCTGGGTAATACTTCAATGAAAACAACAATGAAAGCTTGTCACGCAAATAGAAGGAGCACCGATGGGCACTTTCTGAAATATTGCAATAGTATAATTCCCTTTCAAACCCAAATAAATCGTAAAAATAAATAAAATAAGAGTGATTTGCGGCAAAACCCACCAGTATCACACCCAACGTCAGTGCCTATACGTAAGCGTACTACGACGCGGCTCTCAATCAAAGGAGTAACAAGTATGATACTACCACTACTAAACTAGATCTTTGGTTCTCTCATGCAGTGGTTTATCCGAGAGGGGAAGCTTAGTAATCCCCATTGCCTGCCAATGGCACCATTCTATCGCGGCATGAGCCAGCAACGACGGCCATAAACCTACCGTCTCCAACACTCCACTAAAAAGCATGAAATTAAGCCCGCCCACCAGCAACAAGGTGCAAAAACTAGCCAAGGGGAAGGAGTCGTATCCAATAGGCTTTCCATTTTCAAATCAGCAACTATGGGTGATAGTGGGTTGCCCATGCCCGTTCCAAACACTTGAGAAGCAGCACAATTGCCACACGCGTTTCCAATCCGACCATAAAACTTTATCCCAAAAAGCAGAGTTGCTTAGGTAGTGTTTTTAAAACTAAACGAAAAAATAACCTAACGAAACAGGGAAACACAGAGTTGTGGAAACGCGCTTAGTAAGTTTAGTGTAGAGTAGAGCACAATAAGAATTAAATCTAACCGAATTTGTATTGTAGCCGTACATGGACGCCATTATTAATCAAAGACGGATTTATGTAAATCCACGCATACACTTAACAAAAAAAAACGTAGCCTATGTAAGCCACACAACCAACACAATACCTATCAAATTTTCTAAATCCTCTTCATGTATAATTGTAGAAATCCTTGAAAATGGTGAAATATATCACCGAAACGTAGGAGAGTTGAAGAAATATAACGTTTTTGCTGCACAGAAAAGACTGAAAGAGCCGTAAAACCCTTTAATCTATCCCTGCAACACACCTGTCGCAAGCTCTCAAACTTTCCTGACAAAAAGTTTCGTGCAGAAAGCCAAGAAACAAGCAGGTCTACATTCATTCAAGGTTCAGAAAGTACCAAACCGCAAAGAAGGACAGCTAGAACGCGAGCAAAACCTCGGGCAAGACCACAACTGCTCTATCATGGACGATGAAACATACGTAAAAGCGGACTTCAAACAAATTCCGGGAAGCCAGTATGTGACTGCGAAAGACAAGTTCGGTGTTTCAGAGTCCCTTAGGAAACAGAAAGTGTCGACGATCCTCAAAAAAAAAATCATGATCTAGCGGGCGATTTGTTCGTCCGGAAAACGGAGCAAGCCTTTCGTAACAACTACATACAACCGTCTACATGAATGAGTGCCTGAACAAACAACTGCTTCCATTTCTCAAATCACACAACGTTCCTACAATTTTTGGGCCAGATCTAGCCTGTTGTCACTACTCCATGGACGCTCTGGAGTGGTAGAAGACGAATGTGGTCAATTTCGTCCATTATACCGTTATACAAAACCTTATGGGTGGAATTCAGAAGAAAGTACGGGCATTTGGATTCGGTGAAGTAATATATAGTGGAATAAAGATACGTAAACCAAGCTTATATGTATAGTATTGTTTTCCCTGAAAATTTCATTACAATCGGTTGAGACACGTATTTTTAGCGAGTACTTCTAAGTGATGCAATTTAACTGTGGACACCCTTTAAAAGCGGTCTCCATTAAGGACGGCAGGCTAAAAAGGGCAATTCTAAAAGTTCTAACTTAGCAACTTTCACATCAATTTCTTTCCATTGATGATTTATCCATGGAGAGACAACCCAAGTAACAAGTTTAGTTTTATGAGGGTTCTGTAGACCATGATTTAGACTAAGAATATTATAAAATCTCTATAAATCATGCAATGCTACTTGAGAAATTGAGCTCTTCCTAATCACAGAGAACAGACGTCCAACTTCCACCAGAAACTTGTGTAAAGATAAGTGGGAACGTCGCCGTTACGTGGCATAAATTAAATTTTCCACTCTCGACGAATTTGGCGCTAGTATCGATACATTTTCTGTTGAAAATTACCACTCGGCGCTACCGGCACTTAGTGTCTAGTGTAAGTTGTGCAACGCCAGCGCCATCATGTTGTCGAAGAGGGTTTTTAAGTGGTTGAGTCGGCGTTGGTGGCGCTTAAGTCGAATAGGAATCTTTACACAAGTTTTAAAAGATATTCTGTTCTCTGTGCCCTAATGCAGTCACTCTATTGACTGTTTTTTTTTTGTAAGTTCCAGAATCTTGTAAAAATGCTATACTCAAAAATTGCAATAAATTATTTGTGCTCCAGAATTTCGATAATGGTTTGCGAGATCTCAAAAGTTTTCCAAAGTCACGGCTTTTTAGAAATTTCCTAAGTTTACAGAATCATGGAAAGACCACTTGCCTGAATGTTATTGAGCTGGTCGAGTTTTTGAAAGTGAGAGGTTGTGAATAGAAGTTCTGTAAGAAAATTTGTGCTTGAAAAGGACTAGAGGAAACGCTCCTATAGTTGCGGTACGTTAGAAGCGTTAGGTTCCTATAGTTGTGCATGAAGACTCAATACACAATACACGTTTATCCTAATATAAATACTTAATATGTCGGAATTTTGAAATTTCCACGACTCAATATTTGAAAAGGCAATCAACATTTGGGGCATATCGGCCCTGGAAAATACTTAAGGCCGTAAGACTTGTATGAACATACTGGAAGAATTTTCTAAATAACTTAGATTATATTTGTGATAGCTCCAAAGGTATCCTGGAAAGTTTTCTTGAGGAATTCCGAAGAGTTTCTAAGATAAAGAACCTTCTGGTGAATTTTATGAATTATTCCGAGATAGCTACGAGTAAATTTACAAGATGTGAAATGAATATCATAAGACGTAACACTTATCGTTCTTACAACGTAAAAATTACCTTTCTGTCGACCGGTTTCGGGTGCAATGCTGCCCATTTATGGGGCAATATACGACTGACTACTCAGGATCATCATACGTTGTGTCTTACATGTCCAAAAAGAAGAGAAGATATGCTACCGGATTATCAGATTTGTTATGTAGAAACAGCCCCGTAACGTGGATAGATCACCTTTTCGTGGTACATACTTTTTAATGTAGAATGTTTAAGATTAATCCTATTGAATTTACAGTTAACCTATCTTCAAATAGATAGTTTAGTGCTATTAATCTCTCTATCAAAATTTAAAATATCCGCACCATATAAATTGTTTTTTAAAAGGAAATCTAGGTAAAACCGTCCAGATTTGTAATTGTTATGACATGTAAGCTTCAGAAAAAGTTATGTGAAGAGAGGAAAGCAAAAGTAGTTCTCCAAATTTCATAGAATATGTCTGAGAACTTCTTAGAAGCCCGCGAAAGTTTAGGAAACACCTAAGAAATTTGGCAAACTTGACAGAAAATATACGAATTGAAAAGACATTTTGTGAACATCCAGAAAAAAATGTGCAAACTTCAGAAGAAAAAAAAAACTGCGGAATTAAAAGAAGTCCTAAGATCCTAAAAACACTACCTTAGATATTGAAAAAATAAATACAAACTTCAGCAAGTGCATGCATTTTTTTTCTAGAATTCGAAAAGCTTCTCAACGGTTTGCATATCATCTCTGACAATCATTGAATATTTCTGATATTTGCTGAAATGTTGTAAAAAGTCTTCTAAACTTGCACAGAATGTAAGTGAAACATGTTAAACTTTTCTGAAGTTCACAGGTATGTTTTGAAGTCCACAGAAGCAATTATTACAAAGACTTTCAATTATTCAAATAATGTTCCTTTGATATTTTGGCTATTCTTCTGGTTGATTTGTTATTGATTTGCAAAAAAAACAAATCTGTCCTTTATCGAAAGTTGGATAATCTAGAATTGTTCTAGGCCCTTCAAATGATAAAATACCTGCGTAATATTTTCAGGGTATTTAGGCAATTCTTCTGGTTAACTAGTTATTATTCTGGAGATCTCTAACTGTTCAACAGAACTAATCATGCTTTTAAGATATTCTTTTAATAATTCGGTCGATCAAGAATTATTCCAAATACCATCAATTCATCAAATACCTGCATAATTATATTGATAAATCCTTCCTTCAAGGATCATGAGTAAATACAAAGAAAAATTGTATCATCATCAAGTATAAAAGTATTGACAATTTCTAGAATCGCAGGATTAAATTTGAATTTACTGTTACCCCACATCCTAAGACTTTTCGCTTAATTTTCCAAGAAGTTATGCATCATTTTTCTTCGTTCTAGACCTTTTCGTCTTGAAAAAACTGCTGACTATTGCACAAAGACATTATAAACCCACCGTTATACCTACAACAGTTTCAAATGAACCACCTCCGTTCGCTACGCTGGTTGCCACCAAATAAAACTCACCCTCTCTCGCAGTGCTTTCCGGTCGCTGCCTTGATTGCCCAGTGGCTGTTGACATCCTCCTGTATCTCGGTGGCGGTAACCGATTGCTGTCCGGATCCTGTTCCGTACTTGACATCGTGCGAATGCAACCTCACCTGGTAGTCCGTGTTGAGTAGCTTAAGAACCGAGCCACATGTGACATACTTGTTATTTCTGGCGGCTAAAATTGAGATCGGAAACGGATTCGTATGTTATCAATAACTTCCGGGAAAACCATAAACAGCCTTTCTCGCAAGCAATGACGTGGTATTGCCGAATTCACTGCTGACGAGCCGGCCTCTCAGCATAAAGAACACCCATCATCGCAATCATCCAACCAATCACAGCTCACCAACACACACTCCACTTTCTGCTAGACAAACTAATTGCGAGTTTTTTTTATTCACATTTGTTAATTACCATAAGCTGAATCGATATTGAAAACTAAACTAACTGCTAATACTAGGGAAACTAATTCAAGAAAGTGCGTCATTTTACTGCTAATTTCACTGTATCGTCTAGGAGAAGAAAAACACCGATCCAAATGATCTTGAGCTCACGGTAGTGCTGCACCAACAACTTTTCGTCTGTTTGCCATGTAATCTTTCTGAGTTCAGCTAATCGAAGCGAATGGGCAGACCACGAAATGTGACACTGACGTATTGATTCATAGACTTGTCAGATACCCCACGTCAGTAGGCTGGTGCTTAAAATTTGCTCAAGTAAATACTGTTATACCTGTTATACAAATGGGTTCAAGCGGGCTGCGTGCAATGTTGCATGCAAGTCCAATAAGATGTTAGAAATGGGGTTCTAACAGGATTGTTATAAAAACAGTTTACGGCAAAAACCGGCACCGCCAATTAGCTCGGTAATTCTTTTTATTGAGATCTCACCAAAATCCCTGTTTGTTAGCTGAATCTCGTTGAATCACATGTCATTCACAAAGATCCAACAAAATAAAATGCCAAGTTGCTCGATGGTGTGAGGGCACGCAGTACCATTTAACTCGGATGCAAGCCTTTTTTAAGTACAATAACTACAGCTAATTACACAGGTAAATAGTATAATTACAAGTGTTCATTATTTTCTGTTTCATTATTATTGATTGATCTAAAGCACAGCGAACAGACATCCAAGCTTAAACAAATTTTTCGAAAAATTATTTGTAAGCATTCAAATTAAAATACGTTAGAAACACTAGCGCCGCCATACGGAATGTTGCGACTCGAGTTATCACTTTTTGCGATTAATGAGTAAACTGAACTAAAATGTGGGTTGATCTTATTGACCGTATATCCAAATGAATTGTCAAATCAGTTCAAAACAAACAAGACCAAACATCGGAAATCAATCGAGTTTCTGTGGAACCATTATTTTAGAATAAAAAAACTAAGCTCTTTTACAATATCCTGTTTAGATCTACAACCGTTTTTCGTTCCAATTTTCACTGGACATAGGGTAAATGATGGCTTTGGCACCACTGTTTTCGGCAACCAAAATTTAAACGTTAATTTCACTGTATTTTCTTACCAAAACACTTCACTGAATGTATTTAAACGATTCCTTTGTCGTTCAGCTTTAATCTGATAACATTTTTACGACTGGACAAACCTGTTATGTCTGATTCTTCTTCAAATGAAACGTACGCACTACAAAATACGGCAGATTTTGAGTTGCCGATAATAGAACAGTTGGTTAACACGCACTTCAAATGGAAAGGTTGCCGAAGAAAAAGAAGCTGCCGACAATAGTTACACTCACCTGAGTAGTTTGGAGGGTTGTTAAAATGTTATTAATTCGTTTTGGACAATTATATCGATTGGAATTGATATAATAGCAAGCAGCAGATATATGAAAACAAAACAAAAACACGTCATATGTATGCGTGACGCCGAGAAATTGCTAATACAAGTGCGGACGCTGCTTAGATTGACGAAAATACGTAAATTCCCCTAGCAGTCAGGCGCAAAGCTGACTTTTTAGTTCACTGGCGACGTATCTTCAAATGATTCAGTGAAGGTGTGAACTCCAATAAGCCCTCATTTAAATTCAGAAAAATGAGGTAAGATTTGTACACTGTTCCTGCATCCAATCTACCAGGAATTCGAAAAGCCTCCGGGGAGAAGTGGTTGGAACATAACTTTTTCGTTGCAAGCGCTTGGACTCCACGTGAGAAAAAAAATCTCCTGTAGTTTGGGCAATTCAGCAGCCATAGGAAAATTGTGAAAAGATTTTTGCTTGGTAACACCTTGTTTATTTGTGCACCAATAAAACTCGCATTTGCGGCCCATATTTTGATCGGTTTTCAACAAACAATGTTTTGCTCACAAGAATTTTGACATTTGTGTTAAGATGACATCTGCCGGTCATCGACGTCGATGGGCAGCGACACTAGCTCCACCACGATATTGCTAGTTTCAAATGTCTATTCAAAATAGCAGTTAAATTTCTTATACACTTAACGAATTTTACTTGGGTCTGTTCTCTGTGTCTAAAGTACATTTATTACATTCAATATAATATAATTACATTATCTGCAATACTTTCCTTCATTAATTACAGCAACAAACGTACTTTAATTACCTTCCATCGTACCGTTAGCCCCTTTCATTATGTTTAGGCATCGTTTTTCACAGGCCTTTTATAAATGTGCATCGAAATATGTAAAGCCCTTCACTAAAATATTGGCAGTTGCAATGATCACAGGCTTCCATACTTTTACTGGATGGCTATAAACCAAATAAAGGTGCACTATGATGTTGTTACGAGTGCCTTTAATTGGACCAATGGTAGACATCCTAGAAAAGTTCTGGTGCCGCTGGCAAAAGTTGGCAATTCTCAACAATAACCAAATCCCGTCGTGGGACATATCAAACTTCATGATTTTACAATACTTGGCTGTTAATGGCCTTATTGACAGTTCACAGTCACACTAGCCCTCCCAGGCATGTTTTGCTTGGTATTTTTGTATGGAATCTGTCTATTTCTACGATATGATATAATGTGACGCATATCATATGATGCATGATGGTTATGACTCGAGAGGTTTCTTAAGAGGTGACCAATACGGTCCAAGCTAATCAATGGGGCTGCTTATGATCTTGATGATTTATTCTCATGTGACTACTTGATGCGTCACATGATTAGACTCAAGGCAGAGTTTGGCCAGATCATGTCCGTATGTGGTCAATGTGGTCCTGGTTATATTTAATATTTTATGATGTTTTGAATGACTGAATTCAGAATCTGATAACATTCCCCTGCCCTTTGGTTCAGTGAGTTAGGGCGCGTTCTGCCAGGTTTGTTTAGGTAGATTTTATGTGTGAGTAACACTTTGGCAATGTGGCGCTTGCGACGATCACTTGAAGATACGATATGACGGAACATTGATACTATTTGTATAAAACCGATGACAATAAATCAAGAAGACTAGCAACTCTTCCATTGTCTCATATGAACGCTATGTGACAGGTACAATCGCGTCATCTGCCGCTCAAAGGTAAATGCTTCGAACGAATTTGATAGCAAAGATCACATCCTCAGAAGAAAGGTTTGTGTATTTGCTCATTTTTCTATTCGTTGCTTCCACCTTCACTCAATCACAGCGCTATTGTATCTGTCGCTTGGATTCTGGTAAAGTTGCCAGTCTTCTTGATAAGATGTCTTCCATAAAACACAAGTAAATGCTTTCAGAAAATCACGGATCGCATTTTCCAGGAACACCTTCAGCACACCTCGTAGATCAGACCGGAGATACGTTTGACACCGCCACGGCGAACCAGACGACGGTGGTTATCACGGAGCGCGAAAATGAGTTGAGGTAGGACTACGTCTGTGATTTTTATATGAGAGTACACTTTGTGAAAACCAAAAATGGAACATGTAACAAAATTATGAAAGATTTTGAACGTTATTAACTCAGCTACCCCTGGACCAATTTCAATAGCTTTAGCACCAATCGATCAGAAATATGTTAACGTATCTGTTAGATTGAAAACTTAATCATATTTAAAAAGACCACTATTGAAAATTGCACGAATGTGCAATTGTTGCTATGATAGTTTAAATTATCATCGATTGCCTGCGAAAAGCGATTTCTCTAACACAGATTTCAAAGTTGAATGCCATCCGGTATCACCAAACGGTGTTTATTCAATGACCACGTGGTGAGTGGTAGTGTTCTCCAGTATATAACGAAAGGCTCCCCGCAAGCAGCGAGCTGCAGCCCACATGAGCATCCATAGAACGAGGAAAAAGCCACACAGCTATTGATTGGAATCAGTAGCTCTTCGTGAGTTGCTGTGGGCCATCTATGTCAAGCGCGTCATACTTAAGAGTATAAACAGAGAGAACCCCACTCAAATTCCTATTCCTACACAAAACACAAGCTTTTGCTGCAGTTAAAAAATAAGATTTATTCTTTAAGACCACGTAATCCTACGTCACCATTGCGTACAACCCCATAGGGTTGTCCCTTGTAGTTTTTATAATAATGTAATCCTAACAGAGAAACCATACGATATATCTCATCCTTCGTGCATGCGATCTTCGCTAAAATCCTGCGATGATGAATCCCTCATTATTGTATGTACATCCTTAATCCCTGGTGGGTGTGGCCAGTGTGGTCCTGGGAATTTCGAATGACTACCATTTTAGTCTCATGGCCCATAAAAACTAGGTCATGTTCCGGTCATATTTCCGGAACCAGATGACATGTTTCAAAAATATTCAAAAGCGTTCTATTGGATCATAAAGGGCGAACACGAAATTATTGCGACACCGAAAATGTCATGCCAATTTTCTTATAATGTTTAGAATCAAACCAAAATTTTAGGGTAGTTTAATACATATATTTACTTCAAAAATCAAAAGAAAAGTTAATCGATGGAGCCTTGAGTGTAAAATTGAACGCATTTTCGCTTGATGCCCTCCATCAAAGTCTTTACAGTGTCATCCGGTACCAGTTTCTCAGTTTTTTTTTTTTCATTTTCTTAACATGTCCTTCTCGTCTTTGACTGTCTTCTTGCTCTTCCGATGTTCCCGCTTCATTATTGCCCAGTACTGCTCCACCGAGCACAGCTCCGGACAGTTTGGCGGATTCATGTCCTTTGGAACAAAATGGACAGAATTGGCCTCATACCACTCCAGGACACTTTTAGAATAGTGGCATGATGCCAAATCTGGCCAAAATAGCGGAGCTTCGTCGTGCTGCTGCAAGAACGGCAAAAGGCGCTTCTCGAGGCACTCAGATTAGTAGATCTCGCCTTTTACTGTGCCCTTTGTCACGAAAGGCTCACTCCTCAGTCCGCAAGAGCAGATGGCCTGCCAAATGAGATATTTGGAGGCGAACTTCGACATTTTCTTCTTCTTCAATTTGTCGTCCACATCGAACTTGCTCTTGCCGGTGAAAAACTCCAACCCCGGAATTTGCTTAAAATCGGCTTTTATATACGTTTCGTCGTCCATCACACAGCAGCCATATTTTTTCAGCATCTTCTCGTAGAGCTTCCGTGCCCGAGTTTTCGCCGTCGATTGTTGCCGCTCATCGCGGTTTGGGAAGTTCTGTACCTTGTATGTATGTAGTCCAGCTCTCTTCTTTGCATTCTGGACGTATCTCTGCGACATGCCGATCTTTTTAGCCAAATCACGGCTTGAGATGTTGGAATTTGCTTTAATCATCCGCTTCACCTTTCCCTCCGTCTTTTTGTTCTCCGGTCCCGGTTTTCTTCCAGCTCCTTTGCCGTGGTCCAACGTCAACCGCTCCTGGAACCGCTTCAACACTCTGGAGACGGTTGAATGGTGAATGTTCAACATTTTTTCCCAACTGCCGGTGCGACAGGTCAGGAAATTCCAGGTGTTTGGAAAGAATTTGTTCTCTCAACTCGCGTTGGTTCACCTCCATTTTCGTTGAATCGAAAAACACGACTTCGAGTTTAACAGCATGTACACAATACACATCAATGAGAAAGTGTGCAAAATTTGGTTGATTTTTACCCAATGGTAAAAAAGTTATGCCCTGTTGAATGTGTCGCAATAATTTCGTGTTCGCCCTTTAGTACCTTTCATTTGGTCGTTGTTGTATCCTATTCGGTTCGACTTAGCTCCCTAAATCCATGTTTTTCGGATGTTGTTCCATCCATATATCCAGAAGCAGTTAACCAATTTCAAAGATATTCAAAAATGTTATATGGGACCATAAAACCTTTCGTTCGCTGGTGGTTGCTGTGGTTGTTAAGAAACACGACTTAGTTCCCTTAATCCGTGTTCTGTTTATCTTCGCAATCAGTTTACCGATTGCAAAAGTATTCAAGAGCGTTCTATGGAACCATGAAACATTCCATTTGGCGGTTGATGCGTCCAATTTGGTGAAATGAATGCTTATACATCTCGTCGATCGAATTCGAATGGCCCTCCAGCCCTAAGATCCAAAGTAGGTTTTCCAAGCGGTACAAATACCGTTCCTTGTAAAAAGGATAAATCATAACTAAGGACTCCCTTAGCTCAGTCGTTATTGGCGCAGCTACAAAGCAAGACGATGCTGGAGGTGGCTGGGTTCGATTCCGGTCCGGTCTAGGAATTTTTCGGGATGGAGAATTTCTCTATTCCCCATGTGCATAGAATATGAGTGTACTTGCCACACAATTATACACACTTAGAAAAAATTATGTAAATTTAGGTGCTCTGAGACTGACATATACGAGCGTCATTTTTGACATAAAATTGAGTAATAACAGACGTGAAATTCAACTCAATCTAAGGTACTTTTCGTCGAGTAGCGAACTTTTCAGTCTCGGAGCACTTAATTTTACATGAAATGTGTAATGTTAGTTATTTCTACGTGTGTACTAATACAAAAAAATTACAAGCATCGAAAGCGCCCTTAATTAAGAACTGTGGAAGTGCATAAGATGAGAGCACGCAATAAGCTAATATGCGATAAGCAATAAGCTTGAAATGCAAATACGAACAAGAAGAAGAAAAGCAAGAAGAAGATAGCTAAGGACTGTTCAAGTTATAAAACCGACAAACACTTTCAGTCCCTATAACAGCAAGTTTGCAATGACATAACTTAGCCATTACGTGAATTTCAAAAATTTCGATACTTCTAGAATTCCTTGGCTCTGTACATTATTTTAATTGCAGAAAGATTGAAAATAGGGTCGTCTACTTTTTTTAAGAGTGAAAAGAGCCGTTACACGTTTTTTTAAGGTGCGTTTATGGGTTTTGCAAGTGACCTAAGATCCATAATTTAGATTAATGGGCACAAATGTTCATAATTCGCCAGAATACAGGCATGGTTCCTTTATATGGAACCTGGAGATAACGGAACAGTCCTCGAAAGATTCGGAACATCCGTAAAAGTGGTCTATCCATAAACCTGATACTAGAACTCCGCGGTTTTTTTTGAAAACATTAGGAACTGTCATATAAGAAAGAATTTGGGTTCATGACATAAACATGGACCCGGATGGCCATCGAAACGTGCTCAGGAAGATCCGGAACATCCTTAAAAATGGTCAATCCATGCAACTGATCCTAGAACATCCTAGAGCATCAGGAACTGTGATGTAAGAAAGAATTTAGGATCATGACATAAACCTGGATCTGGATGACCTACGGAAGATCCAAAACATCAATAAAAGTGTTCCAACCATGAAACTGATCCTAGAGCTCCGCAGTTTTTTCGAAAACACGTGGAACTGTGATATAAGAAAGAATTTGGGGCGTGAGAAACATGGACCGTGATAGCCATGAGACTGTCCTCCGAAAGATCTGGAACATCCGTAAAAGTGGTCAATCCACGAAACAGGTTTTAAAGTTCTATGGTTTTTTTCGAAAGCATTTGAAACTGTGATATAATAAATAATTTGGGGCCATGACATAAACATGAACCCGGATGGTCATCGGGCCGTACTGTGGTAGGTCCAGAACATCCGTTAAAGAGTTCAACCAATGAAACTGATCCTAGAGCTCCGCAGTTTCTTATAACACAGTTCCTAATATTTTTGAAATAAACTGTGGAGCTCTAGGATCAGTTTCATGGATTTATCACTTTTAATGATGTTCCAGATCTTCCAGAGGACGGTGTCATGTCAATCGAGGTCCATGTTTACGTCACTACCTATTTTTTTCTTATATGACAGTTCCAAGACATTAAAAAAACTGCTGAGCTCTAGAATCAGTTTCATGGATGAACTAATTTTACCGATGCTCCGAATCTTCATAGCCATCTGGGTCCATGTTTATGTCACGAGCCCGAATTCTTTCTTATATTACAGTTCCACGTATTTTCGAAAAAACTGTGGAGGTCTAGGATCAGTTTTATGGATGGACCACTTTTATGAATGTTTAGGATCTTCCGGAGGATGGTCCTATGGCCATGCAGATCCAGGTTTATGTCATGAACCCAAATTATTTCTTATATCACAGTTCCTAATGTTTTTGAAAAAACCGCTGAGCTCTAGTATCAGTTTCATGGATTGACCAGTTTTACAGATGTTTCGGATTTTCCTGAGCACAATCCCATGGCCATCCGGGTCCGTGTTTATGTCATGAACCCAAATTCTTTCTTATATAATAGTTCCTAATGCTTTCAAAAAAACCACAGAGCTCCGAATCTTCCGGAGGACCGTTCTGATTTCTCCAGGATCCATATATAGGAACCATGACTGTATTCTGGCTAATTATGAACATTTGTGCCCATTAATCCAATTTATGGATCTCAGGCCACTTGCAAAACCCATAAACACTCCTTTATAAAAAAACGTGTGACGACTCTTTTCACTTTTGAATAAAGTAGACGACCCTATTTTTAATCTTTTTAAAATCAAAATAATCTACAGACCCTAGGAATTCTAGAAGTTCCACAATTTTTGAAATTCATCAAGAAATGGCTAAGTTAATGCTTTCTTCTCGAAGCATTACTTGCAACATAGAAAAACTATATTTGAAGCAGCACGTTATTTTTTACGAAATTTTAAATCACATGTGCTCTAAAATGCAATTTTTGTATACTCATGTCAAAAGAACAGCAGGATCAATTTTGCAATTGTGTGCCAGATATTTTTTATTCCAGCTCTTCTAAAAGATGATACATACCATCTAAAATAAACATGCCTTTCGTAGAACAAAGTGTTTGTACGATTTTGAATAACTTTCGGAGACATTTTTCGTCATACGATTCAACGTTGGAAAATTGACAATAATATCTCAAAAAGTCTGATACTTCTTAATACCGTAAATTTAAGGTATTCAGTGACAGTTTTGATCAAATTTGATTTGAGTATACACATTTAAAACACACAAAATAAATTTCGTATTGATCATTAAGAGTGTCAACACACTTTTTATCACATTTTGTTATAATTAAATGACCTGACAAATAAAAAGAATAAGATTGTTAACCTAAAGGTTTCTACGTAAGTGCCCAAAGAGGATCCAATAGAAGAAGAAAAAAATATAGAAAAACCTTTATTGTTCACGCGAAAACACCAAAAAGTTAAAACATACAATTAAAGTTGTTTGAAATTTTGTAAAGGATTTTTTCAAGAATACATGATGTGATGATTTATTCTGAAGTTATGCATTTTATTCCAATTAATTTAAGTAATGCATATTTTTTATTAGATCATGATCTATACATATCTTGAATAAACAAAACGAATGCAATGAAACATGAATAAATTACAGACAATTTATGATGTCTATAACTGAAACAGTCCATATTTCAGACAGTTTTTGGATTTGTATGTCTTTCATTAATAAATACTACAAATTTAAATACAAAATAACGGCTTGATGCCTTGTTTTCATGTCAAGGCGAATGCTTTGGCTTTATGCACCACTGCCTGTCAGGTAAAAGATTAATATTACTTCACAAGATTACTCTAATCCAATCTAGTTCTGAGATTCATACAAAACATGCTGACTAAAAAAAATCCAATTTCCATATCCTGAAGAATTGGTTTGAATCACACATGCAGCTTAATCAGCAACTCACGGCAAATTGTCCTTCAAATTTTTGATATCATCACCATCCGTTGAACTTCATCATGACTCACATGCAAATCGCTGCATACCGTCCCTAGAAGCTCTCCCATTCGCTCTTGTTCATAACTTTTGCCAGCACCGTCATTTCTCTTCGCTCTCGATCTCGCGATCTTTCGCCACACCGTGAACGATCAACCAACCTTCACGGCTGAAGAAAAAAAAAATCAAACTATCACAACAAACACGCTGCGAGCGGCAACTTCAGCTCAGCTCCAGCTGCTGTCCTTTGCAACGTGTGCCAGCTCCAAACGCTACCAGGTAGGTAGGCATTAGCCATTCAACATTTGCTCTTTTTCCTTTCACTGTCTTGGGGAGAGCGCCTACATACACACGAGCCCCCCAACAACCCAGCGCGATCGAAGTCGTCCGTCCGTCCAGCAGCAGCGCAAATGGTATGCACAAGAAGTCTCGGAGATTTCTCCGTTCAGTAGACAACGAACCCTGGCTGCATGTCGTCGTCGCTTGCAGATCGCTCTCGTCGCGTTACGCGTTGCTGAACCACCTGCCGAAGTTAACCCCCCTCCTAACCGTTTCGTCCCGGACCGTGGGATCCCAAGGTGTGTGTGCGTACATGGCAAGTTGAAAGTGGATTACGTCGCCTGTCGTGCGACCCTCGCAGAGAAAAGCCTCCGAGAGTGATTTTCACTTTTTGCACGGACGGTTTGAAGGTTCGAGGAAATTCCGAAAATTAGATTTGATCTGTCTGAAGAAGAACCACCGAGACTGGCTGTGATATATGGTGATGGCTGCTTCGAAGCAAATGTGACTTGGGAGATTGTTGGAGCACATCTCAAATGCCAGAGCCTTCACCTTTTTATCCGAAGAAGAGACGGCTACGTGTTGGCCCCCGTGTGAGTGGCTCGGTTCGAATGGTTGGAAGTGAAACTAGTGGATTTTTCTGAGCGAATGCGAATGATCTGGAACCATAGTGTAACTGCAGTCGAAGGAAATCTGTGTCAATCGAAGGAATTTTAATCTATTTTTGGGACGTCTCTCAACCCGATTTGCTGATGTGTATTACCCAATGCAAGTTTGGAGTCGACTTTACCCAACCAGCACTAGCGCAAGTGACTAACATTTAAAAGAGGCAAAGTAGGGAAAAAAAGAGAGCGGTGGCTGGTTGGTCAAGTCGTTGGTGGTGAAGAGAAATACTATACACAAAAAACGACTACGAAAGCATTGTGTGTTTGGCTGTATTCAAAGTGGGCCCTTGCATCGGTACAGTAAGTGGCGGATATTGTGGAACATGAAGGCTTATGCCAGCAAGGGAGAACTTGCTTACCGGAATAACTGGAGAAATATGGAAGCCGATTTTTTTGCTATGGAATTGATTGGCAAACATTATAAATAAATTCCTTGTTGCAAAACCACAGCACAGTAGGCCATGCATGAAATCCTGCCAGGATAAATTAATAACTATCTTGAATTGTATATAATTCAAATAGTGACTTCAGCAATTTCTGCTGGCTTAGTTTTTTACTGTATACTTTATGTTGGCTCTCTAGAGATTAGCTGCCTTGAAAAGTTGTACATCTTAAAAGTTTATAAAAGCTACTGAAGTTACTGAAGTCTTAATATTCAAATATAAGGAATTCTACCAAAGTTATCTTCAACTGACGATGTAAATTCGTGTAACTAAACGAATACCTCTATAATTTTTCGTAGATCACTGACCGCGATCAGTCTTAATTTTTCTTAAAGAGTGGAATTTGTTTTATTAAGTGTTAAATATCATAATTTTTAAAATTAAATTTCTCAAAATTGCTCAACTGAACTCAAGATTTTATCAGTTATTAAAAATGGGCATCAAATAGAATACCATTCCTCAAATTATCTCACCAGCCCAAGAAAGCTTCGTTGCAGGAGGACCTGTTAGTCTATTTTTAATAACTTTTCATACCAAAAATAAGTTGATGTCTTCGGATGGTCCCAACCTAGATCTGGTGAAGTCACTCCACACTACTCATTCATCGTAGTAGTCTAGGGAGCTATAACGTCTTCGCCACACCTTGGTCCCAACCATGCGTCGGAGTATTCGTGCTCGATGAAATCCTTGTACTGCCGGAGTGATATATACTCTTCAACTCCTCGTTGCAGATTTAAGGCCACCAATGACATTGGCCTGACTGCTTGCTGTGAGGTGTTTAGCAAGTTTTCATTATCAGACATATGGCGGGATCTTGAATTATTTGTCATAAGCGACGAATAATCAATTTCATCTGAATTAAACGGACACAATCCATACTTTTCAATCACATTTACTAGTTTCATTTCAGTAGAACCACACCTACGTCTCTGATACGCCAATAAACCAGTCAACGATTCCAGTTCATTGACAGTGGACGAACAAACTCACGTCAAGAGGTTGTGCTATTTGCCACAAACATATAGTCTAATCTAATCTAATCTAACACCAACAAAGCCAGCTCTTGAAAGCATCCTGGAAAATGATATATTTACCTACATCATTTTTTTATGTCTATTGGATATATGTTTCACATCGAAGATGCGTCACACATATCAAAACTGTGCAGCATTTAAGGGGAAAGATGAGTCAGAAAACATCGGGCCTGTTTAAATGCTTCAGAATCCAATAAATGGATGAAACGTGGACATCTCGTACCGTACGTTCCGATTTTAGTAATTATATGATTGGTTGGACGTTGGAAGCATCAAAGCTAGAAAGGTTAAGTGATGCTTCATTTTCTTCTGACGGTTGCACTAACTGCACGGGAGCACTAACTCTTGTTTTAGCCTTTTATGATTTATGACTATAGCGCCATTACTCGCTTTCTGAAAAGAGAAGAGGGAAAGGAAAAGAAGAAGGACAAAGGGAAAAGGATTATGTGAAATCTATGAACATAAACAATATTTTTGATTTGGAACATACAATATAGAAATGGTGGTCACTACCGGAGTCTTGTCACTATTATCAAGCCATAGAAAGTTACAAGGACTAAAATGTGATCCTTTTATTACTGGAAAATCCTGATTCCCTAGTTTGAAGTTGTCACGACTGTCTTATACCAGTAACGCACCAAAAAAAGGTGATCTCCCAACGTTACTGGTTTGAAAGAAAAAAAAATTACAAAATGGAACGAACTCACCAAGTTTAGCCAATTGAACCTGAAGGCTGCTTGACATGTGTTGATGTAGAAGTCCAAATTGTAGACGAAGCTTGACGAAGATCAACATGATATAGTCCGGTTTATGGTAGTTGCGCGGAATGTCTTCCTTCGATTTGAGATAAGCAAATGTTCGGATGTATGTAGTCGATTTTTGATGTGCATTGGCAAGCCTTTTCGTGGCCAATAGTCAGGTTCAACGCTGCGACTCAACGAATGATGGAACTAATGATGGGACGAATGATGGGATGCCTCGTGGAGGTTCTACTTGGCTTCGGAACAGCTTCTCAGCGGCAAATAATAGGGACCTAGAATGAGGAACTAGAAATTGTCTCCTGGGCCTGGTTTTAAACTACGTATACAGTTATTGAGATGATACTCCTAAGCATCATCTTTATCATGATAAATGTCATGAAAGTTTACACATTCTCCTCAGCAACAAATCAGAATCTATCTGAAAGACAATATCGGTATGATACAGTTAAGTTATGTTAAGATTTCCCCCCCTAATAAAATCAAGTCACAATGTGCAATGTGTTTTCTGTATTGAGCATCTGCTTTCAGCTCTGGTTATCTTCATGGATCATGGTCGTAGCTTCTCCTCGCAAATCCTCGAGTAGACGTTGTAATCATACAGCAGTAATCATGCATATCCGACACCAAATTTGCGGCGGTATGAGAGACCACTGTTAATGTTGTGTCGTACGATACCACACCAGATCTGTGTGAATGCTCCTTAAAGCTGCGTGTGACACCTCCGACAAAGCGACGGACTCCACTTCAGCTTAATATTGATAAGATACCGAAATATTCAGTCTCGAATTCAATGTCAGGTACAAAAGTTAGCACCTACCTTTGTTTCTCGGCTGTCCTTCAACCAATTACGCTGATTTTTTGGATGTGATTAGTGGCAATCACAAACTAGTTATCTACAAAAAAAGCAGCTCAATTGATGGAAGGACAGCCGAGAAATAGCGGAGGGTAGATGGTACCACCCATCGCATATATGGGGGGTTAGTGTAGTTGGTTATCCGGCAATGATTATTCATCGCTACCATATTTTTCGAAATCGGAAACCATCGAATAATGCAGTGGAAGGCCTGCAGATTTCATCACAAAATATGAAGAATCCCATCAAGGTATTAGTTTTTTAAAATATTAGCCCCGTTTTGGCATTTGACTTATGTAACACATCATTTTTTGAAGAAAAAAAATCCATGTATCAATTGTGGACTACTTGATAGCGTATTGCTATCTTCTAGAAAGAAGAGCGTTTTTGTACAATAAAATACTTTCCTGAACATGCCTTGGAAAAATAAAAAAAGTTAATACCTAACAATCGATTTTAATGAGGTTTCCATAAAAAATGCTTCATATCTCAATGAAAATGACATGCTAGCAAATTAGTGTCTTTGAAAAAGTTTATGGAAATGATGAATTCTACAATGTTGTCCAACATTTCTATATCGTAAAAAGTTAGAGTTTTCAAGTGGCTTCCATATGAGTATAATTTGTGGACGATCCCTTCATCAGATGCGATTTTTTCAAATAAAAACTTGTCTCAAGTCACCAAATTGAGTAATCTTCATTTTCAGGCACTATTTATTTATTTTTTCCTAAAATTCGCACTTCTGGACCATTGTGCAATGGATTTTCTTATTGACGTGTGCGTGGACAAAAAAAGCAAAAATCTTCCCTCCATCACTTTCTCACACCGCAATCAAAAACAGCAATGCTGTCAACGCCAATGAACACCATTTCGTATAATTCTGCACCATTTTGTTTGAAACTCACCTCGAAGCCCTTTTGCGCTGAACGTTTCATGGACTGAACACTTGATCACGTGATCACACATCTGTGTCCTGGATATCCAATCCATCAACTCATAGTCCAGAACCAACTGCTTTACTTTCTTTTCGTAAGAATGGGAATGAGTTAGATGGGAAATAGTAAAGAATAAAAAATGTTTTCGTTGTTCAGTACTAGTATTTCACCACCCCTCACCATCCCTCTCCAACTGGAGAGTTTGGTAAAGAGAGATGATCAACCTGATTCGTACCTTCCTCAAAGTTGTCCTTGCTCGCTTTTTACTCAACTATACAATTTTCACCCTGCCGTACTCTAACGGAACAATCAACTCTATACTTTCATCTCCTCATCTATCGTATAAAATGACCACTTTAAGTCTGTTATTTGAAACTTAGCATCTTCAACTATGCTTTAGCAAGTTTCTTTAAAGTTTATAATGAATCGTTTTTAACTATTTCAAAAAGTTTTGTCGACATCCCGGAAGTTTCGTCCACCTTCCTTGATAAATCTTTTGGCTGCACATGAAAATATATGATTTCCCTAAAAGTTTTTTCCAGACCTCTCTTGGAAATTTATTTATGCTTCGATCGGAAAATTCTTCCGGCTTCTTTTGAAATATTCTTCCGATTTCCCTAAGAAGATCTTCCGATTCCACTGGAAGTTTCTTCAAACTTTTTCCTAACAATTATATTTGGACTTCCCATGGTAACTTCTTGTATATTTCACCCAAAAATCCTTCTAAAATTGTTTCCCGGGAAATTGGAACCGATTGCTAGGAATTGGGAGGCGTTATTTTTGTTTAATTTTTCGGGAATGATTTCCCGCGATGTCCTGGGTAGGAAACACTATTCAGGACTGTTAAATTTAATTGTAGTTTTAAATAAAAGTGTTCACTTTAAAATTTTAAACTCTGCTTGATACTTTTCTCAGATAGGTAGTTAGTTAGTTATTTTTAATAAGGAGACTTTCAGCCGAACGCTGGTTCGTCTCCGAACTACTTTTCTCAGATTTACCCTAGAATTGAGAAACTTTGAATGTGATTAGATAACTAGGAATTATTTTATTAATTATTAAAATGAGGTGTGAAATGATAAAAAGAGACCTCAGCTAATTGGTAAAGGAGAAGATCAACCCGATTCGTGCCTTCCTCAAAATTGACCTTTACTCGCTCTATATTCAATTTTCGCACTGCGGAACTATCTCCTCATCTATCATATAAAATGGCCACTTTAAGTCTGATGTATGCCGTTAAGCATCTCCAACTATGTAAACCGTTAGGTTCACTCATGAAGTAATACAAACATGATTAGTTAAAAATTGTTCAAGAGTTTAAGATTTGAATAGTTCAAGATGATTTGCGATGTTGCAACGTTTTGCACTACTGAATTACATTACTCATCAACTACTCACCGAAACATTTTGAGCTACTCAAATCAGAAACTCTAGATCAATTGTTAATGAAATTTTTACTAAATTTCAATGTAACTTTTCAAATATGCAATCATATTGTGTGGTTATTTTTTTTTTCTTTCAGTTACAGTACAAAAACTGGTAAAAAACAAAATCCGCTGTAACTTCATGTAGAATGTGTCATTTGATGTTTCAATACTCTTGCATGTGTTGTCAGGCCATTTTGACATTTTAACAGCTATTCTAGATAATTTTAGTTTTGACGTTGGTCTACGTCTTTGTCGAATGTATGGGGTGCCATTCCATCGGAGCAGCGTCACGAAATTATGTATGATTCTAAACGCTTAAAACTTGGTTATTTATGGATGTATTTCAAATCTTAATGTTTCATTTGAATCAGATTTGATGTAACATTTGTTTGGTACTATAATTATAGTAGTTTACCAAAAGCAGTCTATTGAAAAATGATTATTCTTAGTTGAAGATGCTAATTTCAAATAACAGACTGTAGTGGTAATTTTTATACGATAGATGGAGTAGATGAAAGCATAGAGTTGATAGTTCCGTTAGAGTACGGCAGTGTGAAGATTGCATATAGATATTAGAATAGCAAGCTAGGGCAACTTTTAAGGAAGGTACAAATCGGTTTTTTCATCTCTCTTTACCAAACTCCCCCTTTGGAGAGGGATGGTGAACCCCGTCCCGTCCCCCGCCACCACTGGCAAAAAGAGATGAAAACCGACCCGCTCAAGTACCAACGGTGTGTTTGAAACAGTTCTACCGATTTTTTACCGCACTTCAGTTGAAGGAAAGCATCCAGTCGTAGGTTTGGAAATTGCAACTATTGTTTACCCCTACCACGATATGTGCTCCTGTCATCGTCGACTTGACGATCTCGAGGGGACACGGGTGGGGTAGGTGCTGCTACTGTACCTTTCGACCATTGACATTATTCTTGCTTTCTTGCCTTGACAACCGAGTGTTGTTGATAGCGAATCCCTAACACGGACGTCAAGTTCAGATACCAAAATGCTAAGACTAGCATAAATTCATCCAATGGCAATTATAACAAATGGGTGGAGCATCTTACATGAATATCTGTGATGAAATATTATACACTTTAAGTTTTCGCTTATTTTTCCTTGGAGTAATGATATGGCAGCAACTTGATAGAAGCAACATTTTCTAGGAGCTTCTTTTGGAATTTTCTTCTAGAAGCTTCTTTCTAGATTTTTTTCTTCTAGATACTTTTTTCTCTATTAAAAGCTTATTTCTCCTAAAAGCTTCTAGGAGAAGCACCGATCTGATACTTATTCTAGAAGCTTCTTTGCAAAATATTCTTCCTAGCAGTGTCTTGCTGAAAGATTCTTTCAAGACGTTTCTTCTAGAAGAATTCTTTCTGAGCGCATCTGATTGAAACTTTCTCCTATAAGCTTCTTCTAGAAGCACCTCCCTTAGCTGGGGCGTCCCTTAGCTCAGTCGGTAAAGGCACAGCTACAAAGCAAGACCATTCTGGAGGTGGCTGGGTTCGATTCCCGGTCCGGTCTAGGAATTTTTCGGGTTAAAAAATTCTCGACTTCCCTGGGGATAGAGTATGATTGTACTTGTACAATTATACCACAGACAAACAGACGTAACTCTTTGAAAAACTTGTTCTTGAAAACATAGTATCTCAAAACATATAACCTCAGTAACGACATCTATCTGGCTTCTCGCGGAAAACAAGCTTGCTCGCTAACTCGTAAACAATATTGCATAAAATTTCTATAGAATATATAGAAACGTCAAAGTGATCCGATGCCAGCGCTGCTGCGAGTAGTTCGCGGAACTGATAATATTCAAATCAACCGTTAAATGCATGAACGAAGATACACAATGAAGAGTTACGTCTGTTTGTCTGTGATTATACTAATGCAAAAATGGTACAGGCATCGAAAGCTCTCAATTAATAACTGTGGAAGTGCATCCAGAACACTAAGTTGAGGGCACGCAATAAGCTAATATGCGATACGCAATAAGTTTGAAATGCGAGGAAGAAGAAGAATCTAGATGCTGCTTTCTGGAAGGGGAAGCTATAGCTTATTTCTGGAGCTCCTTTTAGAAGATTCTTTCTTTCTTTCAAGAAACGTATTTCTTCAGTTTCATTCCGGAAGTTTTTGCAAGAAGTTTCCTTCTGGTAACCTAGTTCTGAAAGCTTCTTCTAGAAGTTTCTTTCTTGAAGCATATTCTAGAACAGGATTGTTAATCGGTATCCGTCAATAATGTCAGCGTTATCGTCTACAAAGGTGAATTTGCATTGCAAACGTTAACGCAGACGTGATCGACGATTATCCATTAACAACCCTGTTCTAGAAGCTCCTTCCTGAAAGCTGGTTTGTAGAAGATTCTTTCGAGACATTTCTTCCAGACGATTCTATCTGAACATTTCTTCTGGGAGCTTTCCAGAAGCTTCTGCTAGAAGATTTTTCCTCGAAGGTTCTTCTAGAGGATTATTTCTAAAAGCTTCTTCTGGAAGATTAATTTTAGGTGCTTAATTCTACACAGCAAAAAATTCTGAATTTTAAGTGTTTTTCATTCTATCACGTAAACTTGTATTTAAATTAACGTAAACAAGTAACTTGGCTTTTGTATACAATATTTGCAACATTTCATGAAATGTCTCAGAACTTTACACCATTCATAATGTAAACTTAAATGATATGTGAAGCTCCTTTTATGTGCATCACATTAAACAGAAATGTAAACTACTTTTTCAAACTGTGTAGCTGTTTCTTTCTATAAGTTTCTTTCATCCTCTAGAAGCTTCTTTTTAAGCTTTTTTAAGAAGTTCAGGAAGTTCTTCTATAAGCCTCATCATGAATATTCTATTACCTAGAAGCTTGATCGTCGTTCCAATTTCTCTACAAATAACACGAGTAGGCATTAGCTACGCACTAATTAAAAGATTTTCAGTGGTGTAGAGTGTATTTCCCAAAAACCGGTACATTTTTCCTTTTCCCACCTGGAATGCAATGCAACAGCAAATGGGTGGAGCGAATTTATTTAAATTTTCGTAGCTCATTTATTTTGAATGGTTTAAGATCATTCAAGATCTAACAATCCATCAGATTCTGTCCACAACGTTCGAAAAATTCATGTAATTTTGCGAGATATAGCGCACATAAAATTCAGAATTTTTTCTGTGCAGACTAAGCAAAGTCAATTCAGTCCCTCGACTTGCCACACTTCAATCAAGTCCCACAGTGGCCCCAATCCAACCTGATCATTGAATTAAAAAGTGCAAGTTTCCGTCGAACGAAACCTGCTGAACCGGCTTACTTACTATTACCATCGTTTAAGTCTCCAACATCGCCAACATCCACAATTTCCGACACTCACTGTAAGAAACGTTTTTTTTTTTTTTCATCGCTCGTGGATCGTAAGTCTCTCTTATAAGCATTATGCCCAGGTAGTAGTAGTAAAGATACCACCGCGCACACTTAGTACTAATATTAGTGAACGGTACCCGAAGCCACCAGACTCAAACTCTGTCAACCTTTTGAAACACCTATCGCATCGCGATCTTCGCGCAGCACACAACACAAATCCATCGCCTTGCACACTCACATCCATTGCCCTCACATACGAGATCATATGTTTCTACCCGTTGCTTTCGCTTCGTCTTTCTCTGTCCTCTTTAATCTCTGCTCCACTGTTTTCTTTGGAACAGTTTGGTTTGATTAAATTTCCCTCCCAGCGTCGTGGCTCGTTTTTGTTTATGTTTGTATTCACACAATTTCAACCATTCAATTCGAAAACCCGCGGGCAACGTGTGCGATATCGTTGCAAAAGTTGCAACACTGAGAGAAGCGTGCGGCGAGTGTTTATCATTTTTTTTTTTTTTAGTTTTCAATCAAGATATTTTTCGTTACATTTTGTTTTTCGCTCGTGCAGAAATACCTAGCAAAATAGAAGAAAAGAAGCATATCGCTCAGTGAATGGAAAATAAGGCGGTTGCAGCGTGCGAAAAATTGGAGTGCGCGCTGCGCAGCAGAATTGTGTTGAAAATCCGCCGAATTGACTGACTGACTGAAAGCCAGCAGGTAGTAGTAGTGTGTATGCAAAAAGTCGCGGAAAAATCTCGATCCAGATTGCGGCTGTAACGAGAGCAGCAGCAGCAGCAGTAGTGGTCAGCCGTATGAGCGAAGAGTTTCAATCCAATTGGTAGCGGACGAGTTGGTTTTTAGGTTTCGAGCAAAACTATTCGAGGTAAGTCGGTGAAAACTAAATCGCTATATGGGGGCATTTAAACATAGTCAGGGAGCGAAGTAGAGGAAGGGATTAATAATGGTGTTCGATAAGGTATCAAATAATCATAATCATTTTTTTTTTATTTTTGAGATGCAGCATCGTGCAATTTTTGAATGATGGTGCTCAACCTTTCAAGTAACAATATCTAAATATTTCATCGGCAAATTTGATAAGGATTATTATTTCAATCTGAACAACTTAGCTCAGTTTTGAGGGTAAAGTATAACTTGGCGAGCACATGAAGCAAGCTTAAGACTAACGCGCTGGAGTTGTAAAACAAACTAAGAGCACCAACATAATTGGTATACTAAGTTATGAGCACATTACAAATTATACAAGTTTGACCGTCATTGAATTATGAATAGGATGTTCATAGCAAACCAAGATGATTTTTTTATATAAATGTGGCAATTGTGAGCACACGCATGAACATTGTGAACTGCATGAACTCTCAGGGCCTCCCTTAGCTCAGTCAGTAAAAGCGCAGCTACATAACAAAACGATGCTGCAGGTGATTGGGTTCGATTCCCGGTCCGGTCTAGGAATTTGTCGGGTTGGGCGATTTCTTGACTTCACTGGGCATATAGTACGATTGTACTTCCCACCAGGGTACTGCATTTTTGAACAAAGTAAAGAAAATCAACTCTCCGCCTAAAGGGTATCCCACATCAAATTGCATCACGGAAAAAACGCTGTAGAAAATTACCTAGTTGACCGATCCATTTCAAACATTCATACAATAAAATATAACCCATTTGTAAGCTTTTGGCATATTTATTTCATTCAACTTCAATACCATAACCGTACGCTCACACCTTACGCTCATTAGGTTCTGTACAACATCTGGCTGCAGCTTCCTCTGTACGGAAACCCATTTTTTCTTCATGTCTTCTTCAGATTTGACCTCTTTGGGATGCTTCCGTAGTGCCTGCTTCATTATAGCCCAGTATTTTTCGATGGGCCTTAGTTCCGGTGCGTTGGGGGGGTTCATGTCCTTGGGTACGAAAGTGACCACGTTGGCTTCGTACTACTCCAGGACAACATTTGAATAGTGGCACGAAGCTAGATCCAGCCAGAAGATCGTAGGGCCCTCGTGTTGCTTCAATAGAGGAAGCAAACGTTTCTGTAGACACTCCCTGAAGTAGATCTCCCCGTTTACAGTCCCGGTAGTCACGAACGGCGCACTTCGTTTGCCACATGAGCAGATCGCTTGCCAAATCATGTATTTCTTGGCAAGCTTTGAAAGTTTCTGCTTCCTTACTTCCTCCGGAACATCAAACTTGTGCTGGGTGGTGAAGAACAGAAGCCCCGGAAGCTGCCGGAAGTCCGCCTTGACGTAAGTCTAACCATCCATGATCAGACAATGAGGCTTCTTCAGCATCTGGGTGTGCAGTTTCCGGGCCCGTGACTTTCCCACCGAATTTTGCCGTTCGTCACGATTTGGAGCCTTCTGCACTTTGTACGTATGCAATCTCTCCCGGTCCTTGGTTCTCTGAACGAAAGACTTGGACAGATTCAACTTTTTGGCCACATCCCTGAAGCATTGGGATTCTGCTTAAACGCTTTCACGACACGCTTGTGATCCTGACCACTAATAGAACATCCATTCGTACCGCATTTCTCCTTCCGTTTGATGCTCAGAGTTTCTTAGTAACGTTTAATCACACGACTCACCGTTTACTGCACGATTCAGAGTTGTTTTCCGATGTTCCGATGAGTGAGTTTTTAAGTGAGGTTTTCGTCACTGCTCAGTGATCCAGAATGCAAATTTAGGTGGAATGATATGTTTTTAACCTGAAATTGTTCCTTATAGTTACTCCCTCATTTTTATGACAATGAATTTTAGGGTGGTTCTTATTATCATTAAAATCAAAAATCTATCTTTTTTGTTTGAATAAATTGAGGTATACATTCTTGGACAAACTTATAGCTGAGCTAATTTCAAGCCACTTTGTCGACCAAAACTTTTTGTATCTCTTAAATTGACCCATTTAGAGCTATTTTCTTGAATTGAGTTAGGGTCCCAACAAACAATCGTCTATTGAAGAAACGACTTCTTGGCCATTTTATTCAACTGCATGCTTAATAGTACTTGTACTATTTTTAATAATAACTTCTGTTCAGGCTTTATTCACACAAATCTGGAGAATTTATTCAACCACAACATTGAACAACTGGTGTTGTATAAGGTATGTCGAGAAGCTTTTATTCGACTTATACGAGTTGTAACAGAGTTTATACGATAAAAATTTTGATTATTCAGCGTTTATTAGACATCACTGCTTCCTTAAAACAGTGATGCTCTGTATACGCTTGATTCTCAAGTGAAGTAACGTTTAATTAGACATTATTATACATTTATTAAACGATTATTCAACTGTGGGAAAATTAACCCAAATATAAGAGAGACGGGGACAGGGAAGGGTGTGTTTCTTAAGTGTAATTGTATTCATTATTTCTGACGTGGCTCGCACCACACGATATTAGAAAATTTATTAAATACTTATACATGTCGTTGTATGGGATTCGAACCATGTACTTTCCTCCGATCACCAGCCGCTTGCCTTGTCATCTGAGCTATCCTAGAATTCATCATATGGGCAACTCAATAATCAATAAAAGCTCGCTTGAAAGTAAATACCTATCAGCACTCCCGATCGCAACTCTAGCTCCTTCAAGGCCCTTAATTCATTCATCGTTGTTTAACATGAGACCAATGTTATCTCTTCACATCTCCAAGTCGAAAGAAAGGATGCTCGGTTGTGATCGATGATTACTATTTAAATTAATTATGTTCTACACAAATAAAAATAAGGGTTGAGCTTGTGATTGAACTCATGGCCTTCTAATTGGAAAGCGGAAACGATAACCACTACTCTACTGATTTCACCTTGTTGTACGACTGAATCAGTGTTGTCGAATAATGAATCTAATACGTCGTTTATAAAGCATTTACAAATCATGTGATTACAACATGGTTGCAAAGTGGTATAATAGCTATTATGCTGACTGTATTCACCTTTGTTCAGCAATATTGTAAAGCAATGCAATGAAATCTAATAAAGAAGCTGGAGAACATTTATTAGACGTCTAATAAAGCATGTTATTAAATCAATTGAAAACAGTCGAATAAAAGTGTCAATGTATGTACAAATTACACTTTTTCAGTTCGTTATTAGATCAAACTTCAGGCGTTGAATTGAGAAGACATTTAACACTTTTACAGCTTTTAATAAGTAAATTAATCAGATCAGAGCAAACAGTGGAATAAATGTGCATCTATCGATCTCAATAAGCTTTTTCAGCACATAATTCGACAACTCTTTTTATTCAGCATTGTACACTGTTATACAGCATTTATTCAATATATATGCTTATTTGCGACTCTGAATTGTTTGTTGGGTGGTATAAGAGCTATTTTGCTGAGTGTATTCACCTTCATACAGCAATATTGTAAAGTAATGCAATGAAATCTAATAATGGAGCTAGAAAACATTTATAAGACGTTTAATAAAGCATTTTATTCAATCAATTGAAAACAGTCGAATTAAAGCGACAATGTATGTGCAAATTGCACTTATTCAGTTTGTTATAAGATCAAACTTCTGGTTCTGAATAAGGAAGACAGTCAACGTTTATAAAGCTTTTAATAAGGAAATTAATCATATCAGAGCAAACGGCGGAATAAAGGCGCATCTATCGATCTCAATAAGCTTTTTGCAGCACATAATTCGACATCCTGTTTTATTCAGCATTGTACACTGTTATACAGCATTTATTCAATGTGTATGCTTATTTGTGACTTTAAATTGTTTGTTGGGGTGTCTCTAAAAAAACAATTGTTTTGCTCTAGTTTTCTTAATTCAAATTTCTCAGCAAAGGTGTCTTTAAATAACTTTTAGATCTTTTTGCTGCACAAAGTTTGTCTATCACGTTTGTCTATTGACGTTTTTCTTCTAAAAATATGTCCTTTTCAAATGTTAATATCTCTGGTTGAGGCAAACAAAAAAAAAGTTTGAAAGAGCGTATATTATTCTCAATAATGTGAAAAAATTAGAGGTAAGTTATTTTTTAAACTCGTATAAAATCATTTTGAATGTATTCATATTTTTTACTATATTTGGGTATGTCTTTTTTTATTAGATGAGATACAGACAACAAATTTCACTATAAAACATTCGTCTTAAAGAGCTTTAAAAGTCTCTTGAAGATAACTTTCATGAGATATTTGAAATTAAAAAGTTAGTGCTAAAAAACATTTTTTTTTTTCCAGGAACACCCTAAGTCAACTCTGAAAAAATACTCTAAAATGAGAACGTTAAAAGATAGAAAAAAATTTCTTGGACAAAGTTGCTTGAAATCATCTTAACTACAACTTTTTCAAACAATACATGTTTTTATTTTGTAAAACAAAACAGTTAGTTTTCAAAATCCCCTAATTTGAGGACCACCCTGACGTTTGCAAACACCAATAGAAGGGAAATTTTAAGCACAAAAACTTCTTCGAAGACACTAAATGTATAAATATTGAAACAAATGTACTAGCACATTTTATTTAAATTTGTCATTAGAGTGGTCCTATGAAAATCATCTTTTGTCAATAACTTTTTTATTTGAAATTTCTCATGAAAGTCATCTTCTAGAGACTTTTAAAACTCTTTAAGGTACACGATTCATAGTGAAATTTGTTGCCTGTATCTCTTGAATTAATTTAATACGAGTTTAAAAAATAACATATCCCTAATTTTTTCACATTATTGAGAATAACATACGCCCTTTAAACTTTTTTTTTTGTTTGCCCCAACCAGAGATATTAACATTTGAAAAAGGCATATTTTTAGAAGAAAAGCGTCAAAAACTCTTGATCGGAAAAAGATATTGACAAACTTTGTGAAGCAAAAATTTGCGTCTTCTAAAGATCTAAAATCTATTTGAAGACACCTTTGCTGAGAAATTTG